AAGTTAATTTTAAAAAATCCATTCTCAGGTAACTAATTTATAGGACTGCATCTCCGTAGGAGGCCTTCTTAATTTTTTTAATAGAAACCTGGAATGTTTTTTTAAGGTCCCCTGTACAAATCCGAGAGCATGCTCACATATTTCGGGACACTCTGCCTCTTTCATTGAAAGAACATTTTAGTGTGTTCATTTATTTCTGACATAAACAATATAGATTTATTTTGTTGCAGCTCATCGCAGAATGCGGACGGTAACCAATTACTTTCTGGTCAATTTAAGTATAGCTGACTTGCTTCTGACTCTATTCAACTGCACATTCAACTCCATTTATATGATTCAAAGGTAAGGTTTTCTTTCTCCATAGCTATACTGCACCTAAATTCATACCATTTAATAATGTTAACAGAAAAATTAATTTTGTGGCTTTTAGTGCTTTAGGTATAAAGTTTTCAAAGTAAATTTAATTTCAGTCCATACGTTCCATAGCAAGGATTCGAGCCTTTTTTGTAAATAAGTTGTGACTCGAGTTATTAGATGGCTTCGAAGCTGGCCACCAACTCAGTTCGATGAATAACACTTTTTAATTTAATTCAAAATTTGAATTTAAGCTTTTACAAGCAAATAAATAGGTATTGCTTTTTTTGAAAGTGTAGATTGCTTGAAAAACGCCGAAAAGCTTAAAGAATTAATAGAAATAATATTTTAACAAAGTAGGAAGAAATAACTGGCACTTTAAATGGTGAACTAGTTAGTAGTCTAAAGTTGGCGGTCTCCAAGATATAAGCCTAACTCGGACGTTAATATTTATATAATTTGAGGGACAAGACTCATTGTGTCAAGGTTTTGTATCTTCCTGAGCTGTCACACTTTAATCTTGTGCGCAGATTTCTATAACATTTGAAACCCAAAACCACTTATAATAGTAATACAGAGTGGGCAAATTTGCTCATCTTATGTTGTATGTTATGTATTTAATTTGTTGATTTGTTTTTGAGATGCACGGTAAAACCTAAAAATAGCTAAATGCACGTTTCTTTTTCAGCTTCGTTGTTTTTGTTTGAATTTGACATTTTTAATTTGATAATCAAATCATCATGGTCCTTATTTTTAGCGCCAGCTTATTGTTTTATTTATATTAAAGTAGAATAAATTTTTTTTACATATATATGTTAGTTTTAGTATTGTTATTGTCGTTGCCAAGTGCTAAAAATAAAAACTTTATTTGTTATTCTTAGTATTATTATTAATTGTAGTGGAAGTTGCATAATTAAAAAGTCTGGCAATGTAACGGGGAGATTTCGCAAAATATTTTATTGTACAAAATTTTCTTTTCATCAATTAAAAATATGGTGTGCGTCACGGGACGCTCGACAGAAGTGATTACTACTAAAAAAGGTTATTTAATTTCCTTTTGAATGTAAAATATCTTTTTTATTTGCAACATTTTTCAACGACAGGTTGTACATATTGCTCTTCTTGGGTTTGTGTAAACTCTTCTTCTTGAGTTTCTGTATTTTTTGGTCGTAATGTTTTATTTACATTGTATAATCTTTGATGTTTAGCACTTGTTTGTGGTTGATGGAAGCTACTTTGAGTTGATCCATGACTGAATGCTTTTTTTAGCACGAAATTGTTTTTGGTGTTCAGCATTACTTAATACTTTTCGCTTTGTAGCATGTTTTTGTGACTGCTCTTGTGTATGTTGTTCATGAACGTCTGCTACAACTTGTATCTGAATAGGACTAAAAAATAAATTAATTGTGGTGATTTGAAGACGTTCTATCTGTTTAAAATATACGGTAAAACGCGGAAGAGCTATAGAGACAGGATACAGTTGATAGACTATATACAGGGTTGCTCATTAGTGCGTCAAAGTGCGATATCTCAGTAAATATGAAGTTTACAAGAAAATTCGTCCAACGAAAGTTTTTCACGTTTAAAAGGTCCACATTCTAAAATTACTTTCCAATATACAGGGTGCAT